TCTCTCTCTCTCACACACTCTCTCTCTCTCAATTCATTAGTACTCCTTAACGACCATCTCTCTCTCACACACTCTTTCTCTCAATTCATTAGTACTCCTTAATGACCATCTCTCTCTCTCTCTCAATTAGTCGTCCTTATCGACCATCTCTCTCTCTCACACACATATAAACAACCTTTCTCTCTCTTTTTCTCTTTCTAACACATATACCAATAGTTTCCCTCGTTCACTACCAAAACTCTTTCAGAATCCCTCTCTCTCTTTCTCTCAAGTACAAAACATTGATCCATTATTCAATGGCTGATATTGCCAAGCCTTGGCCATTGAAATTTGAGTTGGAAAGTGACTACAGCAACTTCAAGTATTGGAAGTCTTGTGTGGAGTCTTACTTAGAAGGAGAAGGTTTGGTTGAGATCACTTGTGGGTCAGGGAGTGAAGTTGATGATGACACAGTAAGAGAGGATAAAGCTAAGAAGTGGAGGGCCAAGAGGGGGAAGGCCCTTTACATTCTAAAGACCACCATAAACAAAGATCTTCATCGATATATAGAACATGCTAAAACCCCAAGGGATGCATGGTGCATTCTCAATTCTCTCAAACTCTACAAGTTTCAACTCCACAAGTTTCCAATTGGGGGAGATCGTAAATACCGTGAGCATGGTAAGGTTCTCCATGACCACTTGGGTAACATGAGATCTAAGAGGGGCAATGGGATGGATGACCTTTCCCGGCCCTAAACGGCCTAGGCCCGGGTAAATAACTTTTGCCTGAGGGTTGGGTCCTAACTGGACCAGGGCCATGAGTCATGGCCTAATCAGGGTAATTTTGTTTTGTCTTTTTGAATAAAAACAAAACTTCATATTTAGTGTCCAGCTCGGGCTAACCCCCCCATTAGTAGGGCTTGGCTGGGCCGTCTAACTCAAGAGTAGGGTCTGGACTGGACTAGGGCTAGTTTGGCTCTGTCGAGCTTGGGGTTAGTTTCGCTGTGCTGAGCTTTTAGTGTAGATGTTTGATAACTTGATGAAATGTTCTAGGTACCTGTGTTTGACACTGTTGGAATATAAAGTCATGTTATTTAAAAATTATTTTTATATTAGACATAAAACAATATATTATATATTGTATTGTAAATATCTATTACATACATAATATATTATATTTTATATTATGTAATATAATATAATATATGAAATATATTTATTTTTTAATAATTATAATAAAATATATTATATAACATAATATAAAATATAATACATAACATAGTGTATTTTATAATTATTTTATTATATAATATATATTACATAATATAAATGTAATGTATAACATAATGTAATCTATAATATATAAATAATTTAAATATAAATATATAATATGTAGAACACAATATATATATATATATATATATATATAAAATATGAAACATACATTATATATAATGTAATATAATTATATTAATTTTATTAATTTATATTTATATTATATAATATATAATATAATAAATTATTAATATTTATTTGTGTTATATAAAAATATATAATGTAATATACTGCGACTACAAATATATATTAACAATATAAATATAAATATGAGGAGGGAGGCATTATAGGGTTTGAAGAACCGAGTTCCTATTTTAGGTTCCATCATTTTAGATGGAACGTTTTTCTTAAGCACAAGGGAGTACGGAAGTTCTAGCTGGTAAGTTCTTTACTGTATAAATTCCGTGCATCAAACGTAGAAATGATGGAAAAGTCGCTTAGTGTCTCCTTCAATACGATGGGGGATCTTGCCTGGAGGCAAGTCCACCTTTCCCATAAATAGGACACACATATTCTTCAAGACCTATGAGATGTAATTGAAAGTCCTAATGTAGTTGGACTTCATCTATTCTACCCAATATTAAATCTAGTTAAAGGTAAGATTTTTTTAGGTCAGGGTCTAACAGACGACATGATGCAATTATATGGTTTTGATGCAGGTCTCATTGCGGAGAGAGCTAAGGAGGTGTATGAAGCTGCAGAGCAAGGGAAGTTTGAGACCTTAGAAGACATTGTCATGGATTATCCAATTACTGCCTCAGGAAAAAATGGTCTGCACGTAGTTGCAGAATTTGGCCACATAGACGCCATGCACAAGCTCTTGGATAGGGCATCTGCAGAATCCTTGAGCTCCATCGATAACCAAGGTAACACCATTCTGCATAAAGCGGCAATAGCCGGTAAACGAGCCATGGTTCATGCCATTTTAAGTAAGAATTCGAGCCTGGTTACGGCTCGAAACCATATGGGTGAGACTCCTCTCTTTCTAGCTGCTCTCCATGGTCATGAGGATGTGTTTGCATGTTTAGCAACACAAGTAGATCAACAGAGTGAGAGAGGCGAATGTTGCTTGAGAAGGAATGATGGTGCCACAATTCTCCATGTTGCAGTGAATGGAGAATTCTATGGTACGATAATCGGTTTGCTACACACCCACTGAATTCAATTCATGTAACAGCTTTATTTTAATATAATGAGTTAACATTAATAATTATGCTAGGATCATTTATTTGATTTTCATATATATATATATTAAAGTCCTCCCACTACCTATAGGCGACCGGTACTGTTTCATTTTTTATTTTTTTATAAATCAAAATAATCTAAAATTTGGAGTGTGCGTACATATTAATGAGGCACTCCTAATAAAAATAAAAAAAATAATTTTTGAAAAAATTATTGACTAAAATACCCCTGAAATATTTTGGGGGTATTTTGATAAATTTATTTCTTGTAAAATATTTTTTTGATATTTTTCGTAGATTCATCTATTTTTGATGAACACACGCTCCAAATTTTAGATAATTCTGATTTGTAGAAAACAAATGAAAAATGAAATACTACTGGAAAATCGTGATCGTGCGATGAACTTTGGATGGTGATGAGGGTTGGCGAAATCACTGTTCATTTTTTCATATAGGCGTTGGGAAGATTTTTGGTGTGTATATATATACGCACACTCTTTTTCATTATGATGAACAATTGCAAAAAAAATAAATTTCAAAATGCAACCTAAAAAGTGTTTTTAAACCCAATTAAGATGTGTCATCCATTTGGTGGGATGCTTGCGTCTAGGCTTTAGGGTGAGTTTTTCTTTTTGCCCTTTTCAATTTTTTTGAAGGGCTTTATCATTAGATAAACAATATTAGAAAAGAAAAGAAAAGAAACGAAAACTTGATTTTGAGTTTGAAAAGGCCTAGATCCCCAAGTTTACCAAATGGATGGTACATATACATTGTCGGAGGGCGACTTGTTTTGACCATATCACAAATTTTTCTTTTTTTTTTGGGGTTTGATTGTTGGGATGAGGAGAGTGTTAAAAAATATTCCTAATTTGTGGATGTGGCTAACAAATATTATAGAATGGTAGTATTGTCTACAATTTAAGTAAGATGGTTATCTGATATAAAGATAAAAATCATTGATAGCGACCTCCCTCCACTCCCTTTTGAGGACAACTCCCAACAATAGGTTAGGTTTGAGAAAACAAAAATAAAAAGAAATTTAATGTGACGGCCCCATCTCTTGTTCATTCTCTATAAGAAAGTCCCCCATCAGTCTTGGAGGAGAGAAGAGATGAAGACCGGTTCACCCATTAAAAAATCAGATTTTGTTTCTTCGTGCCAGTTATGTTCAGATCTGTTAATTTACGTTCTTGTTTTTCGGTAATCATGAACAATGATCCAACACAGATTTACAATTTTTTTTTGGTTTCTTCAATCTAAAAATATATATTTTTAAAAAGAGCGCATGTGCAAAATTTGGAAACATACAAATGCCATAAACATAATTTTCTAAATGTGTGGTGTAATTATATTACAACGATACAGTGAAAAATATAAAGTAGGACAATTTAATTTTAGTACACGGTTAAATTATATAATAAGACTATTTACTTTCAATACAACGTTTACGTGACCACTCTTAGCAATTAGGTATGAAATCGGGTCGCTAGGGTTGTGTCATTATATAATAGGTGTGGTTGTATAAGGCTAAGGCCTTAAATAATCAAAATAAGGCGCACCTTCAAATAGTGTTGAAATATGTTATTTCATGTTAAAAAGTAGTGTAGATCGAGCACATATATGAACACTTGAAAATCTTGAAAATCGACGGTCTACAAAATGCATTCCAAACTATACTATTTCCAAAACTTAAAGCTGTTTTTTCTCATGTCCAAACATCCTGAAGTCGAGATGATCGATTCGAGGATTTTTGAGCATCAGAGTAACTTGTTCGAGTGAAATTTTTGACGTGCACCTTAAATTTGATTGTTTATACAATTAACAAAAAGGTCGAATTCTTGATTTCCAGGTCTAGCACTAAAAATCCATGAAAGATACAAGAAACTGGCGTTCGCACGTGACGAGGTAGGGTTCACACCAGTGCACATCATAGCGAACTCTCCAAACTCATTCCAAAGTGGAACCACATATTCTTCATCAAACATTGGAATGTCCCCTTCATCTCTCATGGACATCATTGCAGTTACCATCTATTCATGTACGTACACATATATAAATGTAAAAGAGAAAGAGACGCTCTTAAGAAAATGGTGCATTTTTGTTGTTGCAAGGGGTGGGGTTGGTGGTTCTCAAAGATTTTGTACTTTCAAAGAGAGAGAATAATCACAAAAAAGGAAAATTTGAAAACGTAACCTAAAAAGTAGTTTTTTAACCCAATTACCATAGGTTGTTCATTTTGGTGAGATGCTTAGATCTAGGTTTTAAAAATATTTTTTCATTTCATTATCATTAGATAAACAATGTTAAAAGGAAAAAAATGATTTTGAATTTATAAAGGATAAGATCTTAAAATTCACCAAAGGAATGGTCTAAATTCATTTTTGGAGGAGACTCATTTTGACCATGTCTAGAGTTCAAATTGTGGATAGGTATGCCCTTATTGGACTTATTATTGCAAGGCAAGGAAAAGCGAAAAGAAGATTCAAGTGGTGATGTGGAGGCTTTATGTGGTGGAGATGATCAACTCACTTCTTCTCGCTCTGTTCAAAGTAGTTCTTCCACCTCTGTTCGCATAATATTTGGTATGGTACACTATGCTTTTAAACCTAATCCAGTGGTTCATTATGGAACGCATTGTAGGAACTTTTTGAAATGATACCATATTGTGTCACACGTAGCTTTAATAACGATTGTAGAAGTATGCTACACATGATCTCAATCATCCATACTTGGCAACGGTTGATATGACTAAAAAATTGGGCAGTTCAAATCGTAACATGCCACTGGCCGCTTTCGGTTTTGGCTAATTTTGGTGAATCGGCCGGGTATTAAAAAAAAAAAAACAGTTATATAAAATCTAAAAAATAATGGCTTTTATTTTTAATGCTTTTCATCATTTTGGAAAATATTAGAAGTTGTTTTGGTCATTAATACTTATTTTTATATTTTTCCATCTTTTTTAAAATTTTTAAAAATACCCATGGCCACATTGAATTCTTTAAAATCTATTTTTTTATTAATTTAGAATTTCATTTCGATGAACTTTGTTTAATCATGCTTTAAATACTTTTCATATTTTATTAAATTTTTTATTTTTTAACACTTTTTTGACCACTTGGGACTTGCCCGGTTAAGCTGGTTGAACCGGCGTGTTTATCGGTTGGACCTCTTCTGTCCCACGTTCAGTTTTAACCGTTCCGATTCGATTTTTCCTAAACAGGCATTGCAAGATTTAGCATAAGCTGGTTAAGAACTCTGAATTGAAATGATGGTATTACTGTCAAATAGAAAATATATATGGTTCTGGTTCTTCTATTTCTTTGTTGAGTTCGTGTTAATTTCTTCCAATCACTTTTTCTCCTTTTATATGCATATCATTTGAATTATTTTATCTTATTTATTTATTCATTCAATCCAAAAACAAGGGAAGAATCATGATGGGTTGTTGAGTGACATGTATTACGGCATTCACACGCGAAACGTAGCACTTTAAAAAACTATGAGTAATATATGTACATTCTCAAAATGAATAAATAAAATACAAAGTGGGTCAATTTTGGCAAAAAATCGCGAGAAATGTCGTTTACTTAAGAGATTTTTAATTTTTTCTATAATACCCCTCCATCCCTCGATAAGTTGTAATATATATATATATATAGGGATATTCTAAACTTCACGATCTTTCAAATTACAAAGGTTCAAAATAGAGAGAGTTGTGAATGGTGGATATATTAATTTTGTTGTTTATTTTTTAAAAAGTTACTTTTGTGAGGCAAATTTGTAAATATTACTACAAAACAAATGATATTTTTGTTATCTCCATAAGGAGTAAAATTGAAATTTTAACTAAGTGACAATGACATTTTACAAATAAAGTTTCAAGACACTAACTTCCAAAATGCCGTTGTACTTTTGTAAAAATTTTAAATTTGGATTGCTTAATGGTAAAGTTACATATTTAAATAAATTTTTAATAAAAAAAATAATGATTGTTTTGATAAATACACCATCACAACCCCTTCTAACTTGAACCTTTGTATTTTGAGGGGTTGTTAACTCTAGACAGATCTATATATATATATATATATATATATATATATATGTGAAAGATACGACAAAACACCTATAGACAAAAATGAACAGTAATTTCACCTACCCCCATCACCGTCCAAAGTTCATCGCGCGGTCATGATTATTCGGTAGTGTTTCATTTTTTTTTTTTATACATATAAATCTTAATGACATGAAATTTGGAGCATGTGTTCATAAAAAATAGATAAATCTACAAAAAATATCGAAAAAATATTTTACATGAAAAAATTTAACCAAAATGCCCCTGAAAAGTTTTAGACCCCTATATAAATTACTTTAGAACTGTAATAAAGTTTCCATTTAGTGGTCCATGCAAAGAAGCCATAAATTCTTTCATTCAGATGTTCATGCAAACTAGTAGTATCGTGATCATAGCAACTATCAATCTTGCAGGCTTCTGTGGTATCAAACACATCTATCAAACATGGTTGAAGCACAAGTTGGTGAATCAATTGGTCAAGAACATGTTGATAACTGAGTCGAAATATGGTTATCAAGATGATGGTCAAACTCCCCAAATGAGAAATAATTCACTTATTCCTCATGACATAGACGAAATGCAGACGTATGGTACACCGACTTATCTGATCATGGCTGTTAGGAAAGATATAGTGGAGCTAGTTCAAGAAATCCTTAATGTTTATCCTGAGGACATAGATTTCCTCGATGAAGATGGGAAGAACATAATGCACTTGGCTATTGAAAATAGAGGAGAAAAAGTCTTTAAATTTCTGAGAGAAAAGCAGAAAGAGAAGTGTAAGTCTGAGCTGTCTTTCTGTATCGACAAGCACGGAAACAGTCTTCTGCATATTGCTGCGAAGCTTCAGAACTGCAGTAGTGATGGGAAATGTGCGGCGCGAAAGATTCGGTATAGTGTGCAGCTTATGCAGTGGGAGTTGCTCTGGTTCAAGGTGAAGTGTATCTCTAAGTTAAGCTGCTCATAAAATTCTTATGAGTTAAAAGATAAAAGCCGAATGGAGAAACCACAATCTATTTCTATTAGTGAAAACGGGTAGGGGGCTTCCTCCCCATGGTCGTACCAAAAAAAATAAAAGAATGATTTACATATGGACTTTAAAATTTTAGGTAAAATATGAAATGCTCCATTTATATGGGAGAATTACAAAAAAGGTCGGTCAATTCATGATTTTTTTTCTTTTCAAAATTGCCTTTCGATCAACCAGAATTTTGATTCTGTTTTATTATTATTTTTGTTAGTAGGGCAGTGCCTTAAAGCTTGGGGTATTGCCCTACTAACGAAAAAACTAAAAAAATATAAAAGAGAAATCAAAATTCGAGTTGATTAAGAGGCAATTTTGAAAAAAATAAAAAAAATTGAGTTGACCGACTTTTTTTTGTAATTTCTACATATAAGTATAAGTAGAGCATTTTGTATTTTACATAAAATTTTAAGATCACTATGTAAATTACTCAAAAAAAAAAATAATCCATTGGGTCATCATATAACTGTGCAATGCTATGATTTGTATTGCTGGAGAGATAGAGCGACTTGGATCGGTTAATGTGCCATTCACTCTCCCCTAGCTCTACGTTGCGTTGGATGGCGAAGTGAACTATGTTTACTGAGTGATTTACGTACAAACGCAAAAACCTTACCTAAAATACGAAATGAGGCTATTTTGCAAAAACCTTACCTAAAATACGAAATGAGGCTATTTTGTGTAAAAAATCATGCGGATGGTCGGTGAGCTCGTATTTTTTTAATTTTTTCAAAATTACAGCTCGGTTCGAGATTGCTATCATCGGACAGCATTTTAGTTTTAATTTTTTGTTTAGTTTTTTCATTGTTAGGGTTGTGGCCCAAGCTTTAGGGACAATGCCTAGATGATCTGAGGTTAGAGTCCTTAGAATGTCATCCGAACAGAGTAGTCCTCAGTTCCTGAGAGGTACGAGGTCTCCATCCTCCGACTGCTCTTGCTTTCTTATTGTTTCAGAAAAATAGCGGTTTGAGAAAACATGGTTTGAGGATGGGGGCCTTGGACCGCTCTATGGACTGAGTTGTCTGAGGTCTCGACCACGCTTTATTTTTTATTTTTTGAGAAAAAAACAGAGGTCCAAGATGGGGACCTCAGACCACTCTACTGGGGCTGTGCTGTGTTTGCAGGGCGGTTCAAGGATTCTAACCTCAGACCTAGGGGGAATTTTAGACAAAAAAAGAAAAGAAAAGGGGATTGACCTATCTTCCTTGTAATTTTCTCCTATAATAGGATCATTTCATATTTTAGTTAAGGGATTGTATATAATGAGACCATTTACTTTTGACATATGTGGTCACAATTACTACAACCATCCAATGTGAAATTTGATAGTTTGGATGTCTGACAAAGTTTGAAAAAATTTCTTTTAAAGTTTGAGCTTGGTCAATGGAATAATTGTAGCTACCGAATTTCACATCCAATGGTCAAGATTAATGTGACCACCTTGTACCAAGGATAAATGGTATCGTTCTATACTTTCCTTTTAATTAATTATTTTAGGTCCGTACGTAATTTAGTCAATTTTTTTCCATCCTCCACTTTTTTTTTATTGAAATTTTTAATATTCCATTGGATCATGGTATACTTTCCCTAACTAATTAGTAGTACAGCGTGTGAAGCATCTGTGCCCCCCTCACATAGTGGCATACAAGGATGCAAATGGGGCAACGGCTGGAGAAATATTCGCCGTCACACACAGGCCACTAATCTCCGAAGCCGAGGACTGGCTGAAGAAAACTGCAAAATCATGCATGGTGGTGGCCACACTCTTCGCTACAGGCTTGTTCGGAGCCCTCTTGACCGTGCCGGGGGGATACATACAGAAAGGGGTTAGTGATAATGGCACAGATGCCCTCTCGCTTGCGCCAGATGTGAGACACAGAGATTTCACCTTGGCATTGAACACGAGCAACCTCACGATTCCGACTGCGGGCACACCCGTCCTCTTGCATGTGTACCCATTTAAAATTTTCCTTTTCTTCTTAGCCTTGGCTCTTGTCTGTACTTGCCTAGCTTTAGGGTTTTTCACCTCAATCCTAATCTCACGTTACGAGGTAGAAGACTTCTATTGGATGCTGCCTATGAAATTTTATGCTGCCATTACAGCTCTCTATCTTACAGCAATATGCAGCATCACCAGCTTCACTCTAGCCTACTCTATCGTTTGTGTTGACATTTTCCCGCACTATTTCAGCACTTGGATTACAATAAGCTACGTGGTTGCAGTGGTTGCAACCATTGAGGTGTTCATTGATTTAATAATCGCCACCGGGAGGTACCTTGTGACTATGCTCCTTGAAGAATGGTACAAGCTTTGGACTGTGCACGGCGAAGAAGTCCCCAACAGAGAAAAAGTCGCCATCTCCGGGGCAGGGGCCGGGGCCGGGGCCGGGGCCGGGGCCGGGGCCGGGGCCGGGGCCTGGGGCTGGGGCTGGGGCTGGGGCTGGGCACAGTGGAGAAGGCTCCAGCTCCGGGGCTGGGCACAGTGGAGAACCTGTACGATGTGACGAAGTCTGCCGTGATTGATAGCCACCTCGGTCAACTTCTCCACCAGCAACTCCACACCGTCGCTGGATTGGATTGGATTGGACTGGTTGGAGTACAAGTCGCTACATTGGAGCTATGCACTGTGGAGGACTATGCTTCTCGATATTGGCTAGACAATGATTTGTTAGTTCTCTCCCTATTTGTTTTTAATTTTTTTTCATGATGTGATTTGATGGACTATGCTTCTTGATATTTGGTTAGACAATGATTTGTTAATTCTCTCCCTATTTATTTGTTTGTTTGCTTATTATTATAATTATTATTATTGTTGTTGTCGTTGTACCATGTAAGAATGAAACTATGGACATCATAATGTGCCACCGAACACTGTTACCTTGACCACTGGACCTAGAGGCTATTTTTGACGAGGATTTGTTAGGTTAAATGGGAAAATGCCTAGTCTATGTGGCTTGATACGACATGTGGGCATTGTATGTTTCATTAAATATATATATGTGTGGGATATAGCTCATTATTTGTAATCTAAGTTTATAGATAAATCCTATTTAGATTAGGATGGGTCTTCGGTCTATAAGTAGATAGGGATAAAGTTAAATTTTCTAAATTTTTAGGAAACATAGAGGCCTCACGTATCACCTCTTTGGGGTTTGTTTTTTTTTTATAATTTGGGTCATTTAGAGAGACAAAAAAAGATTTATATATTGGGTCATTTAGAGAGACAAAAAAAGATCTAGATAAATAGAGAAAAATTTTTGGGGTTTTTTTAGAGAGAGAAATTTGTACAAAAGAAGCTTGGTGAGAGTTTGAGTCTAAGTTGCCTCGTAATTTTCTTACTTTAATTTAGTGAAAAATATTGATCTTCTTCACTCGTGGATGTAGTCATATCTGTGACGAACGACATAAATCCTGATGTTTTATTTCTTCTATTTATTTTGTACTATATTTTTGTGTGCAAGCTTTCTATGCTTCTCCTACAATATAAAACTTATATACTTCCCCTTATCCAACCATCTATTCTAAATGGAGGACTAAGATTGCCCCAATCACAATGTAACGTCTCTACACTATTCTATTTTTAATTTTTTTATATAAACTATTTTGACACCAAATTTTTCACGTCTAATCCCCTATTAAACTCGCACTAGCAAAAAAATATAAAAAAATATTTCCAATAAAAATAAATGACTAAAATACCCTTGAAAGATTCAACGGGTATTTTGGTTATTATATTTTATTGAAAAATTATTTTTAATATTTTTTATAGGTGCACCCAATCAGAAGATGACATGTACCAAATTTTAAATTCATACAATTTGTATAAAAAATTTAAAATAAAATACTTTGAGATGTCAAATCTAAGATCAAACGGTGAGTGTCTCTCTTGCTAGATGGTAGGGGAAGCATAGATCTTCTATGTTGTAGGAGAATTATAGAAACTTTTCCCTATTTTTTTTTTTGCTTGTTACTTGTTTTTGTAGATTTTTTTGCTTATACTTTATTTGCAAAAAAATCAACCCATTTGGTTTAGTGCTTCCACGCACAACACAACAAATACAGTATCGAAGGGGAATAAATATTGTCTTGAGATAGCGCTCTTGCGTATACAAAAACAAGAAAAAATCAAGTCTCAAATTTCAGAGTTCGTATTATCTTTTAGCCCCTATTTCACCCAACAATTTTCCAACCTATAATAGAAAATACAGAAAATAATTGAAATGATTTTCAATTACAAATAATAGCAATGGTCGTTATATAAGTTGTGATTATTTATGACCATTGCATGACGTGATGTGCTGGTCCTGGATCCAATAAATCGGCAGATATATCTGTTATCTCCGGGCTTTTAACGACCATCCGGAGTTGTCCTTTTGACTTTACCTTGACAGATTTATTTTCTCAAAATACAAAACACCAATTCTCAATACCATCTTCCTCTATGTTTTGACTTTTACCATTGATTGTTTCATAATATTGATAATATTGATCTCCAAGTCCACCTTAGAAACACCAAATCCTTCATTTGGAACCAAAAATTAATTCCATAAAGTATGTTGTATTCCATAACGGCCCAGAGGTGGAAATGGGTTTTGTACTAAAACCCCAGCCCAAGGGTTTTAGTTGGTCTATTTTTTTTGTACTAAGGGGCGAAAAATTGGGATTGTAGGTTCATTTGAAACCTAAAACTTATTGGATCCCAATTTTAAAGAGAGAAAGCCCCCAAAAACTAGTTTTTGGTGAATTGTTGAGGATCAAAGGGTTTCTCAAAATTAACAAAAATTGATCTAAACATCACCCATTTATATGAGATTTAAATTTTGATGTTTTATACTGATGTAGTGTGGATTTGTAGTTCCACTGGTTTGATGCTTTTGTTTGATAATTTGGTTGGTTGGTAAATTTTAAGTTTTTATTGGATATAGAGTTACCAATTTATGGTTATGCTTATGCTTATAGAAAGTGCACTAATGGCCAATGTGTAGTATAATTTGAATTACAATGTGCCCTAAATAACTAGTTTTTATTTTTTATACAATATATGTAACTATTTAAACTGAAGAGTCCTTTTTGGATTCAACTGGGCCGCCCAGGATTTGGGTGCCCGCTTGGGCGGCCTGGACACCCCAAGCCACCCAGAACCTGCCTAGCACTTTTTGAAACACTGCTCAGTGTCAAAGATTATGTATGACGTAGGAGAGTGACCCCAAAAATAAGCCCCCTTGTCCTTTAGTGAAAATATCAATATACCATTACTCATTTTTTTGCCATGGAATAAAGAAATCGTCAATTTCTTCTCTCTTCTTTCAATTCCTATCACTTATTTATCTAGACCTCATAAGCCTCATCTTTGAAACCAAAACCCAAGGATAAACCATAGATTTTGGGTGAGTCAGATGTTGGTTCCCATTAGATTAAACCCTAGATTTCGTGCTGGTTCACACTTGTTATAAGATGCACTATTTTTAACATTTGAATTTCTTTTTTATTCTTCATATCCACGCATCTCAAGGTCAAGATCATTGATTGGAGGGCTCTCCAACATTTGAACACTCTGCTCTAGAGGGGTTTGAGGTACACCTAACTTTAATAGTATAAGGTCACAACCTTATATAAACTCTTTCTTTTATTATTTTTATTCTTTTCCTCAAGAGCTAAAAATCTTTGTGTGTACACTTTGGGATGAAACATTTTGCTTTTCCTTCTAAAATAAACACTAAAAATTCCAGATTTGTCCTTTAACGAGGGACATGAAAGAAAATAATGTTGTCCTTTTAAAAGAACACAATTTTTTTGCTTTGTGTGCATATTCTAAAAGCAACTTCCCACTGGAGAAGGAAGAAATATTCCAAGATAGCTTCTAAATGCAAATCGGGATACCACTCAAATGAATTTTTGGATCTGGAGCATTTCAATAGATAAATAATTTAAATACTCTGACAATAGATGGTTATGGTGTGTTGTTCCCTCCAGCTTTAGGCGAGCCATTCAGACTCACCCCAATTATTAACGAGTAGGAACCATTAGGGCTAGCTCTAAGAATCAATCAAAGAATCAACCAAACTCGACTTCTTCTAACTCATTATCATTATAACTTTGTATAAACTAGAGTAAAGATAACTCCGACTCGATCCCTTACAAGTCCCCAGTCCATGCCTTGTTTTTCAATATGATTACCTACAATGGCTAAAAAATTACCCATGCCATACCATGTCAACAGTGGGCTGCTTGGGTGTGTCATTCCTCTGCTCAAAATCTGTAATTAACATTGAAAGTTCGAGCATGTGATCAAGCACAGTGTATATAAATTAAAAGTTTTCTTATTCTTACACCGGCAAGATCACTCACAAACAAATAACTCTTGAAGCAAATAAATAAAAGAAAAGAAATACGTTTCTCACTTGCGACCACTATTGAATACAATTCCTTAAATCAAAACCTTAACTGATTGCTTTATGGGAAGAGGAGATCAAATCACAAATAAAGATTTAAAGAAGTAAACTTGCTAGAGATTACCTCAACCGAGCTTAGGATACCCCACACCGAGTCTCCTCCTTTCGATAGTGCTCGGGATATATGATTCGTCAATTCATTCTCTTACATACGACAAAACCCTTTGCTACCCAAAAACCCTTTGCTACCCAAAAATCTGACCACTACAAGCTAACTTTAGCTTGGGCGCACCACCTAGGAATAAGAGACCCTTTGCTACTCAAAAATCAAATCACTACAAGCAAGCTTTAGCTTGGGCGTGCCACCGTTCCTCCCTTTAGAAAAACTTGGGAGCGATCTTGATTTTGGTTGGTGTATGCTCCCCTTAAAAAAACTTGGGAGAGATCTTGAAGCCCTACGTAAGGCGTGTCACCTATAGAGAGATATTTGAGAGAGAGAGAGAGAGAAACCCTTAAAGAGAGAAGAGAGAATAGGTGTAGAGATTTTATGAGGTGGGAGAGCCTTTTTTTATATATTTTTTATGTTTTGGAGTTTGTCTCAATTTGTAGGGTCAAATCTTGACGGTCGATCTAGGAAGACGTGTGGTAAGAGATTTGAGTCGTCTATCTCTTTGATCCGTTGCTGGATTGGATTGGTTGGAATACAATTCGCTACATTGGAGCTATGCACTGTGGAGGACTATGCTTCTCGATGTTTGGCTAGACAATGATTTGTTAGATTTCTCCCTATTTGTTTTTTGTTTTTTTTCAAGATGTGATTTGATGGACTATGCTTCTCGATATTTGGCTACGATGGACTAGGCTTCTCGATATTTGGCTAGACAAATGATTTGTTAATTCTCTTCCTCTTTATTTGTTTTATTATTATTATTATTATTATTATTATTATTATCATTATCATTATTATTATTATTATTGTTATTGTTATTGTTATTGTTATTGTTATTATTATTATTATTATTATTATTATTATTATTATTATTATTATTATTACTATTATTTATCTTTAACGATGTGATTTGATTGGTTAAATTATGTGGTACCATGTAAGAATGAAACTCTGGACATCGCCGGCACCCTGTTACCTTGACCATTGGACCTAGAGGCTATTTTTTACAAGGATTTGTTAGGTTAAATGGGAAAATGCCTAGTCTATGTGGCTTGATACAACATGTTAGCAGTGTATTTTTCATTAAATATATATATGTGTGCGACATAGCCCATTATTTAGGATCTAAATTTATAGATAAATCCTATTTAGATTAGGCTGGGTCTTCGGTCTATAAGTAGATAGGGATAAATTAAATTTCCTAAATTTTTAAGAAACGCAGAGGCCTCACGTATCACCTCTTTGGGTTTTTTTTTTTTATATATATTGGGTCATTTAGAGAGACAAAAAAAGATCTAGAAAAATAGAGGAAAATTTTTGGAGGCTTTTTTAGAGAGAGAAAATTGTACAAAAGAAGCTCGGTGAGTGTTTGAGTCTAAGTTGCCTCGTAATTTTCTTACTTTAATTTAGTGAAAAACATTGATCATCTTCATTCGTAGATGTTGTCATATCTGTGACGAACGACATAAATCCTGATGTTCTATTTCTATTATTTATTTCTTGCTATATTTTTGTGTGCAAGCTTTCTATGCTTCTCCTACAATATAAAACTTATATATTTCCGCTTATCCAACCATCTATTCTAAATGGAGGACTAAGATTGCCCCAATCACAATGTCACGTCTCTACACTTCCATTTTTAATTTTTTTATATAAACTATTTTGACACCAAATTTTGCATGTCCAATCTTCTGTTAAACTCACACTAGCGAAAAATAAAAAAAAATATTTTCAATAAAAATAAATGACCAAATACCCTTGAAAGATTCAACGGGTATTTATGTTATTATATTTTATTGAAAAATTATTTTTAATATTTTATATAGGTGCACCCAATTAGAAGATGACACGTACCAAATTTTATATTCATACAATTTGTATAAAAAATTTAAAATAAAATATTTTGAGATGTCGAATCTAAGATCAAACGGTGAGTGTCTCTTTTGCTAGATGGTAGAGGAAGCATAGATCTTCTATGTTGTAGGAGAATTATAGAAACTTTTCCCTATTTTTTTTTTTGCTTGTTGCTTGTGTTTGTAGATTTTTTTTTCTCATACTTTATTTGCAAGAAAATCACCCAATCTAGTTTAGTGCTTCCACATACAACACAACAAACACAGTATCGAAGGGGAATAAATGTTGTCTTGAGATAGCGCTCTTGCATATCCAAAAGCAAGAAAAAATCAAGTCTCAAATTTCAGAGTTCGTATTATCTTTTAGCCCCTATTTCACCCAACAATTTTCCAACCTATAATAGAAAATACAAAAAATAATTGAAATGATTTTCAATTACAAATAATAGCAATGGTCGTTATATAAGTTGTGATTTATTCATGACCATTGCATGCCGTGATGTGCTAGTCCTGGATCCGATAAATCGGCAGCTATAGCTGTTATCTCTGGGCTTTTAACAGCCATCCGGAGTTGTCTTTTTTATTTTACCTTGACAGATTTATTTTCTCAAAATACAAAACACCAATCCTCAATACCATCTTCCTCTATGTCTGACCTTTACCATTGATTGTTTCATAATATTGATAATATTGATCTCCATGTCCACCTTAGAAACACCAAATCCTTCATTTGGACCCAAAAAACAATTCCATAAAGTATGTTGTATTCCATAACGGCCTAGTGGCGGAAATGGGTTTTGTACTAAAACCCCTGCCCAGGGGTTTTAGTTGGTCTATTTGTTTTGTACTAAGGGGCGAAAAATTGGGGTTTGAGGTTCATTTGAAACCTAAAACTTATTGGATCCCATTTTAAAGACAGAAATCCCCCAAAAACTAGTTTTTGGTGAATTGTTGAGGATCAAATGGTTTATCAAAATTAACAAAAATTGATCTATACATCACCCATTGATATGAGATTTAAATTTTGATGTTTTATACTGGTGTATTGTGGATAGTGGATTTGTAGTTCCACTGGTTTGATGCTTTTGTTTGATAATTTGGTTGGTTGGTAAATTTTAAGTTTTTATTGGATATCGAGTTACCAATTTATGGTTACGCTTATGCTTATGGAATGTGCACTAAAGGCCAATGTATAGTATAATTTGAATTATGATGTGCTCTAATTAACTAGTTTTTATTTTTTATACAATATATATAACTATTTAAACTGTAGAGTCCTTTTTGGATTCAACTGGGCCGCCCAAGATTTGAGTGCCCGCCTGGGCTGCCTGAACACCCCAAGCCACCCAAAACCTCCCTAGCACTTTTTGAAACACTGCACAGTGTCAAAGATTATGTATGACGTAGGAGAGTGACCCCAAAAATAAGCCCCCTTGTCCCTTCGTGAAAATATCAACATTGCTGTTTCCAACGGCAAAAATACCATTACTCATTTTTTTGCCATGGAATAAAGAAATCGGCAATTTCTTTTCTCTTCTTTCAATTCCTATCACTTGTTTATCTAGACCTCATAAGCCTCATCTTTGAAACCAAAACCCAAGGATAAACAATAGATTTTGTGTGAGTCTGATGTTGGTTCCCATTAGATTAAACCCTAGATTTCGTGCTGGTTCACACTTTAAATCCATTGGATAACTCATTGACACCTTTAATTAAGTGGGACAAAGAATAAATTAGGATTCTACCTAAAAAACGTGTTGCAGCTTAAATGATGAGGCCATACTTTGGGAGAAATAGTTTTGGTGTCAAAACCTTATGATGGGTTGAAAATCTATCTTTATCTCTTGTTATGAAATTTAAAATTTCAAAAAATGTATCGATAAAAAAAAATAAAACATTTAAAAATATTAAAAATAGACAGTCCATCTAACTTGTTATAAGATGCACTATTTTAGGATTTGAATTTCTTGTTTTTTCTTCGTATCCACACATCTCAAGATCAAGATCATTGATTGGAGGGCTCTCCAACATTTGAACACTCTGTTCTAGAGGGGTTTGAGGTACACCTAACTTTAATAGTATACGGTCACAATCTTATATAAACTCTTTCCTTTATTATTATTATTATTTTCCTCCAAAGCTAGAAATCTTTGTGTGTACACCTTGGGATGAAGCATTTTGCTTTTCCTTCTAAAAGAAACACTAAAAATTCGGGATTTGTCGTGTTTAACGAGAGAAATGAAAGAAAATAATGTTGTCCTTTTAAAAGAAAACAAATTTTTTGCTTTGTGTGCATATTTTAAAAGCAACTTCCCTCTGGAGAAGGAAGAAATATTCCAAGATTGCTTCTATGTGAAGCCACAAATGCCATGTCTTCAACGGCCCATATCCATTCCCTACCCAATCGAAGGGCTGAAAATTCATGCCTCAAAGTGCATGTACAACTCGAAAGTCATATAGGATGCTTTAAACTTTGTCAATTATAAAAATATTATACCTCCTACATGGTATAAAACATATGGGACAAAACCTTGGAAGTTATAACCACCACTTAAAGAAGGCAACACAAAAAAGACTAGCAAAATGGATGCTTCCGATGCAAATCAAAGTGTGGAACATGAAAGAAAGGTGTATAGAGCTGCCACCAAAGGGAACTGGAGAATCATAGACAAGTCCTTCAAGGAAGAGCCAAATTACCAAAATGCCCCTATTTCGCCATCAGGGGCGACAATTCTTCACCTAGTTGCACAATGCGATCAAGCGAAAACTCTTGTAAAGGTCCTCGAGGTGGCCACAGAGGATGCACTGAGCTCCAAAAATGACCATGGGAACACTATCCTCCACGAGGCAGCGATAGTAGGGAGCATAGAGATGGCGAAAGCAGTGTGCAGGAAGAAGCAATGCTTGGTCACAGCTCGTAACCACTGCGGGGAGACCCCAGTCTTTCTCGCCGCTATCCATGGTCGTAAGGATGTGTTTTGGTATCTTGCAGTGGAATTGCAGATGTTAGGCCAAATGAGTGACGGTTGTTTGAGAAGGAATGATGGTGCCACCATCCTTCATGCTGCTATGCTTGGAGAATTCTATGGTATATGACAAGAGACTTCTCTTGCGCGCTCTTTCTCTCAAGTATTATTTGTCGCACGTATATATTTTTTGGAAGAATAATTGAATTGAAGAAATTGGAAAAATAAAATGACAGAACAAATAGAATCCATAAATATTGTTAGAGTTTATATGAATTTTTTTGTTTTTTTTTGCTTGCAGATTTGGCATTGGAGATAATAGAGGTGTATCCAACTCTTGGTTTTGCAAGAGATGAGAAGGGGGTCTGGCCTTTGCACATCTTGGCCATGTCTCCAAAGTCATTCAAGAGTGGGACAATTTATTATCCTACAAATGTTGGGGTATCCCCTTCAGTTTTGATGGAAACCATTGGAAAGGTCATCTATTCGAGTATGTATCCTCATATACAAGCATAATTTTAACTTTGGATACACAAATGGGGGGAAGTATGGGTGGGTCGAGTGAATTTTCAAAGGATTTATTGTAAAACATGCTCAAAATATCTATATAAATCCATTGTTTCCTCAGATAAATGAATTTGAAGCTCCGAAAAATAATTTTGAAGAACTAAAATGAATGTTCCAAACAACACTATGAAGTACACATGTTAGATCTTTTTTATTTTCTTCTTCTTCTTCTTTTCTTTCTTTTTCTTTTTTTCTCTCTCTTTTTTTGTCTTTTTTTTTTCAAATTCATTGTCATAGAGATTTGAATGATAGACTTGCAAAATTTTGGATCCAAAATCTAGCTCCGATATAGATTATTGGAGGGTGGATCCACTATAACAATTGCGTCCAACGAGAATATGTTTTTATGTTGTATTTGTATTTATATGTGTGAGAGAGAAGAGAGGGAGAGAGATTTTCTTATAAGCTCTTATTGTTCTACATTTTTCTTTTTATTAATCTAGTTATGCCAGTCTTCGGATTTGAAAGAAGGCAAGTAAATGTTGGAGAGGATATAGAGGAGGCTTCCACACCTACACCCGAACAGCGTCATGCATATCATCAACCAGCCATTTTCCCTTTACAAAGATGCACAGATGGTTTGAAGTCAGGTCCTACACTCTATTACATATTATAACTTGTTTAACATATAGTCTTAAAATACCAATCAATTCAAATTCGGATCAGGCAATTTGGTAATCTAGCAAAAACACAAACAATAAAACTGTTAAAGGAAAGGAGTTTTAGGTTAAAAAAATATCAGACAATTGTCGAATAATAGTGAGAAAGGTAGGAAAGGAAAATATAAGAAAAGGGTTTTAGGGTGGATATGGCCTATTCCAGATACTTTCCCTAGACTGGCCCTCTGACCACTAATTCTCAATTTAGATGGATGGCCTTGTGGACACTAGTTCTCAATTTAGATCGATGATTTCTAATTCATTGTTTTGACAATGACTGCTGATACATTCCTTAGACTGACATTGCGATCACTGATTCTCAATTAGATGGATTGTTCGTATGACTATTGATTCTCAATTGAGATCGGTGATCTCTAAATTACTGGTTTGACAGTGATTGCTGTTGCTGCTGCTACAACTTGAAGCACCAAACTAGTGCATTCCCACCCACAAAAACTACTTTCATGTGTTTGATTCCCAAACGCCAAAACAATTTTAGTCGAAAGAAAATAGTGTTTAGAGCTTCATGAAGAACTCTAGAACCAAGTGTAGAAGGAATTTTGTGATCCTGTGATGCTCCAAACCAAATCAAATTGGGAAGAGATTAATTTTGTGGGAGCAAGGTTGCTGCTCCATGCAATCATTTTACAATAACAAAAAAAGGGTTTGAAATAAGAAAAGGGGGTTTCAAATAATATATTGTTGAAGCATTCTCATTACTTGTGAATCCGTTCCTTGTTAATGTGAAATATGATAATGTAGTTGTGTATGTGCAAGGATACATTCATTTGGGTTCCTTTCAATATAAAACGATAATTGGATTTGCCTTTGCTTTTTTTTGGTCAGGAATTGGATCCATATATCAAGGTAAAGTGGCGATCTCTTATCATTGTGAGAAATCTCAATTG